CTGTGGTGCCCTGTGACAGGGACAGCCCAGGGGCAGAGGCTGTGGTGTTCTTCATCATCAGCCCTGGCTGAAACTCCCTTGGGCTGGGCTGTGCCCCTTGCCCACGGGGTGCACTGTCCGCAGGGGAGGCACGGAACCGGCTGCGGTGGGCGGATGGGAAGACCATCAAGAACGAGGTGGACCTGCAGGTGGGTGTGAGGAGGGCAGTGGGTCCCCTGGGGGTGCTGTGACTGGTGTAAGACTTGCCAGCCTTTCCCCTGGAGAGCCCAGCACTGGGGACAGCCTGCCCTGGGTTGGTCAAGGTAGGGTGAGGGAGATGACAACTGGATAGGGCACCTCCAGGCTTTGGGGCACTGGAAGCCTTTTTGACTCCTGTCTGTGTATCTCTTCTCCAGGTACTGCATTTGCTGGGACCAAAGACAGAAGCTGACTTGGAAAAAAAGCCAAAGGTGAGGAGAAGGGGAGGCTGGAGACTTGGATGGTATTCTGATGAGTGTGCAGGCAGGATCCCAGATAGGTTCTCTGAGCTCAGCCACCACCGTGGCTCTGAGGGAACACTGGGGACAGCAGACTGGGCCAGGAGGGGCAGGTGCATGCCAGGGCTGGGCACTCAGGATGCTGTGCTGGTCCCTGCAGGCTGCGAAGTCCCGGCTGGCCCCGGTGGAGAAGCAGAAAGCAGCTGTGGTGGAGAATGGTAAGAGACTGTCCTTCTGCAGGCAGCTTCCCAGCCCTTTGGTTACTGCTGGGACTCTTCCCAGCTGGGCCCCGGGAGCTGCAGTCAGGGAGCTCATCCCCATCTCCTTGTAGGTGACATGGGCACAGAGACACAGTCGCTGCTGGAGCAGCTGCGGGGAGAGGCCCTCAAGTTCCATAAGCCAGGTGAGTGTGAGGAGCCACTGCCCTGTGCAGGGCCACTCCACTGGCTGTGTGCCTGGCCCCAGCTCTCTGTGCTGCAGGGAACAAGCCCACTCCTGCATCTTTCCCCACTGGCTACTGGGCTTGGCTT